CAAGAGTGCAGAAAATGAAATCGAATTTTTTGAGAGAACGGAGTATCCGATTTGAATGATCTAAAAAACATTCAATTAGTAATGATTGGGAGAAGTGTTTATTAGTTTTTGGCAAAGGCAGGCCCAACCATTCCGAAGATACGGAGTAAATATGTAAAAAATGGCAGTTTTTGAGAGAACTAAGCGTCCGATTTTAAATGATTCAAAGAACTGTCTGCTGTGTTAACAAAATAATTGATTTGGGAAAACAAATTTTGTTCCAACTTTTTTTTTTTTTTTTTTGTATATCGAAAAATTTCAGATTTTATTTTTAATTCTGACTATAGTTCTAATATACTATACAAATAAATTCAACTCTGCAATTCAGTTTATATAATTCTTATAAATATTAGGCAATGTTACAATATTTATAATAATCTATTTGAAAACATTCAGTATTCCTCGAACATTTCGTTACGGTACGGGAAGTTCCAGCAATTTGCCTTATGGCACGATGCCATAATTGCCTCAAGACAGAATTCCACTTACAGCTAGTTTTCTTTTTATTATTATGTGTAATTTAGCCATATAACTCATAGGGTCTGTAAATAATTCTGATTGTTATATAATATGGAATGAATAAAAAAAAGGTTGTTTTTTTTATAATATATTTTAAAAGCAATCAGAACCTTACGTCCTATGAGCTGTTGGGCTGAAACTTCTCCTTTCTTCGTATTTTTTAGATGGTAACCCAATGATTAAACTATCCATATTTGATGATTTTTTGTTATTAGATTTAATCTAATAGGGCTGACTTTTTATTGGTGCAGCAATGCCGGGCAAGCGCTATTTTCACTTGGAAATATATATAAAAAAAAGTTAGATCGTTGATTTGCACCGTTTGCAACATTCAAACTCTCTGAATTTTTGATAAGAATTTTCATGCACTGCATTTGTGTACACAATAGTTGCTATTTGTAATTGTTCTTACGACTATTAAGACGAGGTAAATGGTGGTAATACCTAATATAATCAATCACTGTTTAATCAATTCCTAAAAAATCTCATTTTTTCAGAGTTTTCAAAAAATATTAAAACGAGAAATTCCAGCAATTTGCCTAAGGCACGATGACATGCACCACTAATTTTGAAATATGTTTTTTAACAAAAATAATTGAAACAACATTGTAATTAACAATATCCTGTAATGGTAATTTAATAGTTAAAAAAATTTCTTATTACCAAGGGGACAAACGTATGTATTCTAATACCTTATTAGTGTATTTAAACCATGTTTATGAATTAGTGGGGCTGTCCTTATTAGTGATCAACCGACAAATATGTTCATTCTGGAGTAAAATTATATTCTAATACGTCATTATCATATTCATATTTTCCTGGCATATTTTAGCCACATTTCTGATTATGTACTACTATAGCATGTGTTATTTTCAAATCACTGTTACTAGCTCAGTAGAGTTTTGTTTTGATAACAGCTTTGAAATGGCCTTGAGTTGCCGTCGCATTTGCGATGCGTATATATTTACTAACTGCATACAAAATGCATTTGTACCGTGCACCGTGCTGTATTGAATAATCAATAAAATGATGTTACTCTATTAACTATCAGGACAACTAGTCATGAATGGAAATTTTTGTTCTTTATAAATATAATCAACTGTTTTTAGGTTAAATTTAGTGCGTAATACGCAAAGTATTCGGACATGGTCGTTTGATAAAGGGTTTAACGAATTTGATCATGCATAACTGAACTAGTGGTGTGTGGCATCGTGCCTTAAGGCAGATTGCTGGAACTTCCCGTACCGTAATGAAATAAATACGAAATGAAATATTCAAGAAATTTTAAATGTTTTCAAATATATTATTACAAATACTGTAACTTTCATTATTTTTGCTATCTTGTTATATCTGAGCAAATCAAATGTAAATCATAAATCAATTTATCTCCAGAACATTAATAATCATCATTTCATTTCGAATTCAATTTCAAAAAAATAGTTGCCTAATTTACACAAAATTTGCAAAATTTACACAATAGTTGCCTAATTTACACAAAGTGCTTCCGCATAGTCTGTGCGACATTTTCACTTATATGTGCTTAGCTCGGCGGCATTTTCATATTTTTCAATAGTTTTGCACTAGAGTGGCCCTTAGACTGTACTTATCCGAGGTAATTTTTTGAATTTTTAATCCATATTTTATGAAAAATAAAAAAAAATTTTATTCTCAAAAGCAATTGTTTTGTCAATACAAGCATAAAGTTTTTTAGATCATTCAAATCGGACGCTTAGTTCTCTCAAAAACTGCCATTGTTTGCACATTTAGCTCTGTATCTCCGAAACCGCTGGACCTGCCTTTGTCAAAGATTAATCACCACTTCTCTCCGTCATTACGAATTGAATGTTTTTTGTATCATTCAAATCCGATGCTCCGATCTCTCAAAAACTCGATTTCTATTTTCTGCACTTTTTGCTCCGTATCGCCGGAACGGTTGGACCTGCTTCTGCCAAAAACTAATCAGCACATCTCCCTATCAATAGGAATCGAATGTTTTTTGAACCATTCAAATCGGTTGATCCGTGCGGCCGAAAACGTGGACGAAAGAATGCGAAAATACAAAACACACACACACACACACACATCCATTTTTTCTGAGGTATGCCAAAATGTTCAGAAGCCTTCAAAACGTCGAGAAATGCAAAAATTTTCATCTTAGATTTTCGGCCCATTACTATAACTACCCTACGGGAAATTAAAAATGTAAAATTTTAAATCCTTATTAGTTGTTATAACATAATATTCTTTGTTAGTTAATGTTGAGAAATTGTTTAATAATCTGTGCATTATGTCCACTATTAACTTTTATATATATGCTTTTCAATAAGAACTATGCAGGTACAATTAAATTTCAAAATTTAATAAAATGCTGTTAGATAAAATTGAATGATCATCTTACGATTTATATTTAGAAACAGAATGTAATGCATATTTCATACATTACGCATAGGGTTTTCTTTGTGTTGAAAATAGAAATAGAACATAACGCCCATTTAATGTATTTTAAAACTTCCCCTTGTATATTAGTTATATTTTGCCCATTTATGATAAATATTAATTTAATAAGCAATATATACTGTGTGATTTCAAACATTACAACTTTATTTATTTTCATTGTTATTGTTTGTTTCATTCAATCCAACGAGCAAAGCCATTAATGCCATTTATTTATATTTACGAAATAGAGATAGTGATTATCTTCAAATATTTTTTTTTATATAATTATTGTTAGTTGAATGCCTGATAAAATTAACATACACTATAAACGCTACGTTAAAATTAACGATAACGGCATCTTATAAATGCAAAAAATTATTATGAATGAGACTTTCCGAAGCAAGACTGAACTGAAATGTTGAGGCATTTTCAATAAAAAACATTTCGTTACTTCATTCCCATATCAAATTGTTTCGTAGTTTTTCTCGGGGTTCCAAATAAATTCACACATTTTTACCTTATTGTCAGTCGTTTATCAATTATTTAAATTTTTATAAAATATTATTGGAGTTTAATAGTCGTTCTGAAATGAAACATTATTTAGATTTTGATATTTTTTATGGATTTTATTTTTTTTATGACGAATGCTTTTATACTTTATCATTTAAATAATTTAAAAGATAACATGCTAAATTATCTCAATTTAAATTCGAAATATAATATAAATATTATAAAAAATATACATTCATCAAAATAATTTAAAATAATATTTTGCACGCTCGTTAGATATCTGCAGTATTTGCTGGCATGCCAATACGTTTCGAATGCAGGATATTATCGAAAAATGTTTTGCATCTTTTATCGAATGTTTGAAGTATTTCATTATTTCTGTAGCAAATGGTTGTCGAAGTCTTTTCAAAGCATTTGTGAAATTTGTAAACATATATCATTCAAAATAACTTTTAAAGCAATGCATAACCCTGTGTTGTTAATACGCACTATGAGTACTATGTGACGAAATACGTCATTGAAATTGTGGCCAATCATTATTTAACTTTTTCTTTATGGCTTAGAACGCGTATTGTATCTGTGTATCACATCACGTATGTAAATATGAAGATAATAACTGAGTTTATAAATATTTATCGATATTGACTACAGCGTACAATTTGTTTATTCCACGCGAGTTATAATTTTTAAAACAGGAAATACTGAGTACTCCTAGGATCTGAATGAAAATATATTATTACTCTTTATATATTTTGCTATTTTTCAGCACTTTTCTTCTAAGTTAAAAAAAATACAATATTGAAACTATGATATGTAAAGTTTGATGATTCCATTTTGAAAAAAGGATAAAGTCCTATCAAAAAAATTCGTTTTTTCAGTACAAAAATTTATTCATTTTTCTACTAAAATGTGCAGAATTAAAAATATGATTCAAGTATCTTGTCAGGTTAATGTAAGTGGTGTGATAATATTTCAATTGGTTTATTTCACAAAGCACGACACACTCATCAGTGTATTAAAAGATACTACAATAACATTAATAATAATCAATGGCCTGTTAGGTCATAAATATTTCCTGTTTTACTATTAAATTTATTCTGATTCGTACCTACTTTATTCTTGCTTATTTTGAAGAATAACTTTTGGATTTCATTTTAGACTAATTTAATCAATCCTTTCCATTTTAGCTAATATATAATCGAACTGAAATATTATATTCATTTCATTTGTATACATACATATAAAAAAATCAATAATTTGTAATGAATAATAATTATCATACATTTGCTAAGAATTTTTTATGCAGTAAATTTATGCTGTTATTATTCCCTATATTTTTGCAAGTTCGACTCACTTAAAATGCTCATTTTAACTCATTTTAACCCAATTGGACCATGATGTTCAACTCGCTTAAAATGCTCATTTTAAACCAATTCGACTATGATGTTGTGCTGTATCAAAATATAAAAAATTCAATAACACCTGTCTTACTATAGGCACAATCTCAGCTGCAAACAGCTGTCCAACTTCGCCACGTGGTCACCACAATCGCAGGAATATCCACGCCGAACTGCAGATGGTTGCTTCGTACGCGGCGCAGGTCGCCCAAAACTCATCCGTTTCCAATAATAATCTGATTACAAATAATAGTAATAGTATTGGTGCCAGCAGTAATTTGGCAGGTATTGCCAACCTGACTACAACATCGGCACCCATTGCTGGTGATCAAACATACGGTCAACATAGGCCCGCAAGTAATGGGCAGGTATGTTTATGAAGAATATCAGCAATTGTGTTTTCATTTTCATGAGGACATGTATGTGTTATATCCTACAATTAATAAACAAAACTAATATATTTTTTAACAATACTTGAATTAATTTTACAGTAGATGGTGTTTGCATTTTTTAATTTTTGAATACTCTAATTTTAGGCACCTTCAGTGATTATTACAGAGAGCAGTGGCTCAAGTCGCGACGATGCAAAACCTCCATACAGTTATGCACAGTTGATTGTTCAAGCAATTGCTTCGGCTCCTGATAAGCAACTAACATTGAGTGGAATTTACTCTTACATCACAAAAAATTATCCTTATTATAGAACTGCAGATAAGGGTTGGCAAAATTCAATAAGGCATAATTTATCTCTGAATAGGTATTTAAAATTCATTTATGTCAAGGATCATATGGCACATGTATTAACACTTTGTTGACCGGCTATTGCTATCACTATATTTTTACACCAAAAGATTTTGTGGATCTTATAAGCAAGGGAAACAGCTTGTTTTATACTGACTTGCAATTGCACTGTATGGTCGCCAACAGAGAAAACAGCATCCATGCAAAAAAAATAGCATATCGTGCTTATTTGTGATTTGGTTAGAAACATTTGGTTATAAGAACACGAGTTAACTTGTGATGTCAACTAAGTGTTGAAATATGATTTATAGTATCTAAAATGAGTATTAACATACATTGCTTTAAAGTTGTTATTCCATTTTTACTTTTATTCAGAATATTTGAAGAAAACAAAATGATGACTTAAATATATATTCTCTGTTTTGATTAAGACTATATTTATGAATGCATTTCAGGTATTTTATTAAGGTACCCAGAAGCCAGGAGGAACCTGGAAAAGGTAGTTTTTGGAGAATAGACCCACAATCAGAATCAAAATTGATAGAACAAGCATTTCGAAGGCGTAGACAAAGAGGTGTACCTTGTTTTAGAGCTCCATTTGGTCTAAGTTCTAGGTACAATAATTTGTTTTTATCAAATTACTTGAATTAAAAATTATAGTGTTTTTAAATATGGATTTGCTCTGTTTCAACTTTTTTTTTGTTAATAATGTAAACTAAATTGAATTAAATATCATTTTGTCTATAACTCGTTAAATCTATAACTTGTTTTACATACCACACATTTACATCATACATATTGGTATGATGTATATTTTTGATGTCAATTGCATAAGAAAAAAATTAATTCAAATAATGGCGATATTAAAGCTATCTCTTTTACTGATTAAGAATGAAATTCTCAATATTTTAACATGAATCATATTTTTTTAATTTTTAGGAGTGCTCCAGCTTCACCAAGTCATTTAGGAATGTCTGGTCTTGTTACACCTGACAGTTTATCAAGAGAAGGCTCTCCGATACCTGATTATCATGATCAAGGACCCAGCCAAAGCGCTCCGGGATCTCCCGGTTTGTCAATGAAAAATAATTCATTAATGTATTATTTTTTATCATATAAAAATAATTTTAATTTTATGCAGGTCATCCTGGCATAAACTATATGACCACAAGCATAGTTAATATTGGTCCGCATGGAAAAGAAATTAATTTACAATCTCATCATGAATACTCTCAAAATGGTGACAGCTTACATGAAGGTATTTTTTCATGTTGATATGTATTTGGTACTACTATTGTAGTACTATTAGGTGTACAACTTTGCTCTCGCAGTTTTTTTCCAAAATTAAAAGCTTTATTGCGAAAAAGTGCTTACAGATGTATTATTCAAAGTATTGTCCGTCGCTAGCGACAACTTTCTCCCATCTTTCCGGCAATTTTCGGATCCCGGCTCGAAAAAAGGAGTCCTCTTTTGACGCTATCCATGAAGCAATCAATTTTTCCAATTCTTCGAAGGATTGAGGATGTTGATCTGCCAGGCCGTGTGCCATCGAACGGAATAGGTGGAAGTCAGAAGGAGCGACATCTGGGGAATACGGCGGGTGGGGCAAGACTTCCCATTTCAGCGTTTCCAGGTACTTTTGACCACTTTTGCGACGTGAGGCCGAGCATTGCCGGGTTGGAGGATGACTTTGTCATGTCGCTCTTGATATTGTGGCCGCATTTTTTTAGCGCGCGACTAAGGCGCATCAGTCGCGTTCGGTGGCGATCTCCTGTGATGGTTTCACCCGGTTTTAAGAGCTAGTTCATCTTTGATGGTTTTTTCTCTTCCACCATCATGTTTGTCTTCGGCATCAAAATCGCCGTTTTTAAAACGTTGAAACCACTACCGACACGTTCTTTCACTCAGCAGCATCACCGTAAGTCTGAGAGCATTTGATGCGCTTAAGCTGCATTTTTTTTCGAATTGTAACAGAAAAGTAAAACTTCTCGCAAATGGCGAGAATTGGGCACATAAACGGACATTCTCGAGCGTGAATAATACGAAAACAAGAACGACTGTTACTGAAACGGAGATGACAATTTGTTAGGGATTGTCCACACTCACTTTAAAGGCATTATCATTTATCTAGTTCAACCAGCCTCAGCCGGTACAGCCACATATCGGAAACGGCGGAAGCAAAGTTGTACACCTAATATATATATATATATATATATATATATATATATATATATATATATATATATATATATATGTTAAAAATATAACATAACTATTTGTTTTATAGAAAAATATCTGGTTGCTGGAGGAATGCAAATGCATGATGATAGATCCTTATCGCCACCAGGTTACAATCATCCGCCTGTTATTGTAAATTCATCATATCCACCATATAGGTAAATAAATAGAATGCATAAATAATTTAAATCATAAAATTATGATTAGTAACAATTTTAACTTCCTAAAAGAGATGAATATGTTTTTGCCAGACAATCCGATTTGCTAATTTTATGTCCAACGTTTCAACTGATTCTGATTCAAATGATACCAAATAAGTATGTGTTTCTGTGTATGTGAGATGATTTTTAGATCTTTTGTGGAGTTTTTTTCAAAAAAGATTGAATCAATTTCATAATTTAAAAACAATTTGATATAACTCGATAAGTTCATATTTTTTATGGCACTTTAACTTGCAATGTTATTTCAAAAATGTTGAATGTATGTCAGAATAATAATGTTTTATGATAAAATATCTTTAGTGGTCCTTACATGAGTCCAGATAGTTCTCTGCCTATGAAGCACTCTCATATGATGACAAATGATACCATGGAGGATGGAAATTCTGTGGATGGTGAGCTGATAATAGATCACGAGGAGTCTAAAATGCAAATGGAGCAAAGTAGAATGTCACCTTATAATGGACCAATTGAAGCTAAACGATCACGGTATGCTGATGAAGATGGTCAATGATGGCAGAGATAGCATTTTAGTTATGAAAGACAATTCAGTAAATACCAAACAGATAATTAAATATTTCTATACATTGTTTTTGATTCTGGTGCAGTTAAAATATTATTCAATGCTTTTATTGTAATGATCTATATCAATGTTAGAAATATGACATAAGATATTTTACCTACCAAAGCATCAACAACAATGTGTTAATATCTGTAATGTTTTCACAAAAAATACAAAATTATGATGGTTATATAAAATATATAAGATATTTTATCTGGCAATATAATTTATCACATATGTTAAAATTTATCTAATGGGTAAATGTTTTCCAAGTTAGAGAAATTTTACAATGAGAAATATTGCCAGACATTCATGTCTCAATGTTCTTGTTGAGCTTTTAACAATATTTAATCAACAAATTATCTTGTGATGTCTCACTTATTAAGCTATTTCTGGAGAGAATTAAGTAAATTAAATTTAAAATGGTTAAGAAGGCAATGCCAGATAGGAGTCAATATAATTTCTGTTTAGTAAATTATTTACAGACCAGTAACAATCTAAACAATATTTCCACAGATTTTTAAGTTACTACCACACATATAAGAATTGAAATTGTTTTAATTTATGTAAATATTTATCAATTTTAGTAGCACCTAATAATGTCTCAAGCTTATGTTAATTTTTACTAATTAACAAATATGTGTTTATATACATCTTAAGCACATACAAAAAATGTACTAAATGCGAAAACATAATTTTATGAATAGCAACTTATTCAAATCAACAGTTTGTGATATTGTTTGATTCTATATGTATTTATGTATATATACATTAACATACATATGTATATATCTATATATATAATGGAAGTAATGTCCAGTTTTATGTACTATTTAGATTTTGTTTAAATCAAAAGATATTCTATAATTTAACAGCAGCCATTTTAATTTTGTATAAGATGTCTGTTTTTAAATCGGCGCATTAAACCCTTTATTATATGAATGAAGTCATTATTTTACTTGGTATTATTGTAAAAATGTAACATCAAAAAATGCTAAAGAATAAATAGAACTATAGTTTATGCATATGTGTCTTGCATTGTAAACAGACGAAGGTATGAATAACTAAAAAATAATTATGCTTATCAGAAAGTTTAATTTTGAAAAATACATTATACAAGCTTTGCGAGTAATGCATTTTCCTCTATTTGTTTTAATGAATTTTTCTATTCTAATGTATGATCATTTGGAAATTTAGCAAAAGCATTAAAAATCAAATACTGAATTTAGATTTATATTATAGCATATTTTGTGATTTTAATTGACCGTTGTTTTATATTTTATTGAGCTATATTATAAACAAGTATATTTATTATACAAAGAATCTAATATTTATAAGCTCACATTTTACATGTGTATAAATCACTATTAAAGAAAATGTATTGAAAGAGATGCATATATAAAATATTAATAATGCGCTTTGTTTTCAATTAATTTAAGGTGAATCAGTTTTTGCAGAATATTGCTAATGAAGGTTGAACCATCAGCCATTCAATGTATGATTGTCTATTGCAGTATTATGATTTGAGTAGTCATAATTATATATAATTAATCATTGATAGATAAAAAAAAAAATGCTTTGTACTTTTTTTTATATTTATCATAACTCATATTACATTTACAAAATCTATTCTAAATTATTTTCCATAATTTATGTTGAAATTAAAAAATAAACCAACCAACTTGCTGGATAATAATGTCTTTCTCTAAATTTATTATTAACTAAATTACCCACACAATACAGTAATAGGCATATTATATCATTATTGTACACTCTTCATTCATTTTTAAGATGTAATTAAAGGGATGATGTCAATAGTCGAAGTAACCATCAAAACTATTGTTTTAAAACCTTTTTTTTTTCTTAAGCTTCTTGAGGTAATAGATAATTTAATGAAAAATCTATTCTTTTTTGTAAGAATTATATATGTTTTAATATAGCTTTATATGTTTGGTTCGTGGCACTATACATTTGATATTTTAAATCATACATTTTTTATTGATAAAATTGCAAGACATGTTTCTTTTTTTTATTAATGAAGCTTGATGTTTTTCAGGCTTGAGGAGACTCCGAGGTAGACGTATGAATTATGAAACAGTTTTCTGCACATTCTCTTTTAAAAATATCTCGGTAATTATGCGCCGAAACACCACATTCCTGAAAATGGATTTCTTAAATTAAGAAATGTTAACTAAGGATTCTTTGGATGGTAAGTTAATGATTATGCACCATAATTTTGAAAATATAGCATTTTTATAGAACAGGTGTTCATCAGTCTCGGATTTCCACCGTGTTCCGTTTTCTTCTAGAAGCAACAATTGTCCTGGCTTCAAGATTTTTTTTTTGTCATAGATTCGAATAAAAAAGACTGATTTTTTATTGTATCCTTGAATTTGATATTTTAAAATCATATTTTAGTTATTTAGCTTAAACAGTCTCCTTATTCGTCTCGGATTAGCATAACCATAAATAACCATCCCGGTTTTCGAATTAAAAAAAAAAAGATCACCTTTCTATAGATTATAATAACAACACGCAAATGTTATAAAAGAGGCAATATGTAAATATATGGCGTAGAGACATGTCAGAAGTATATCATAATTTTACAGTATATATAAACTTTCGGTAGATTTGGATGTAGTGAATTGATAACTTACTGGTCCAAAAAATGTGAGCCACCAAGCACCGAATTCAACAGCTAAGTTTTTGTTCGAACTCGAATGATTTATAACAAGTCGCGTATTAGCCTGAAATTTTTTTTTATATATTTATTAATGAAATATGAATATATTTAATTGCTTTACTTACCGGTACCGGCATTCCTTCAGTTTCAAACCGGATGTGATGATCCCCTGCTAAGGCTTTCCATCGGCAATATCTATCTTTCGTGCAGGTTAGTGATAGAGGCTGATGTTCTTTTGGACCTCTTGTACCGGTAACAGTTAGCAAAGGAGATTGAACAAACAACTAAAGGTTTATCTTTGATGAGTCATTAATGTTAATACATTAATTAAATGATTTTGTACTTTAGGTGAAACAAATAGATTCAGAGAAGAACGGTGCATATACAAGTACTTGTGCACGATATTTGTGTACTTTAAAACTAATTCTTGTTATTGTTATAATCTAATAATGATAGTAAGTAGAATATTTGTGAGTTTAAGAAATTGCACTCTTTTTGTTAAATTAGTATTTTTTTGCACTTACCGGAATGTCTTTGTGAGATTCATAGCATTGCAAAGCAAAATCATCACCATAAAGTAGTGGTTCTCCCACCTTTTCAGTATCGTCGGGACTGAAATGATTTAATAAATTTATTTTCATCTATTCTTTTTCTGTAAACTATTATTTTCAACTTTATTATTATTTTTAGCATTTCATTAATTTAGACGTGCCTTATTCAGAAATAACTGAAAGTTCCATGTCATGATATGAACATTTTATATGATCAAATTACAGTCAACCCTCCGATAACGCCGCATTTTGGATACAATACAATGTTTTCATATTAGGCGGAGCTGAAATTACGCTAGCTCTACGATAACACGGTACTCCTTTCTGTGCATCCTATTAATGACTTCAGTATTGTAAAAGGTATTATAACTTTTATTATGAACTATTTCTATATATCGTTTATATATACAATAGCATCGTTGCTTGCGCATTTCGCACAATATCGGAAGAAGCAGTGTGCGTCATTTCAGGAACTCTGCCTCTCTTAGTGTTAGCAGAGGAAAGACGGACAATTTACCATCGAAGACATCAATAATTGAGTCCTGAAAAGTTGAGGATAGAAGAACGGCAGAACAGCATTGACCGATGGCAGCAACTGTGGGATGTCGCAGTGAAGGGCAGATGGACGCATCGTCTAATTCCAAACATTAAAGTCTGGCTAATTTGCAAACACGGAGAAGTTAATTATTACACTACGCAAATGCTATCTGGGCACGGCTGTTTTCGAGCCTACCTACACCGAAGAATTACTCCAGATACTGTTGTTGAAGTGATGCTGACAACTGAAGCTGCTTGGAACGCCATGGACAGATTTGCGAGATAATGGGACTTCGCCCAATTAAAAGATAAGTATATAATCAAAGTAGGAATTATAACATTCTAGATCTTCCCCCCCCCACGATGTAATGCCTAACGGCGGTTTCCGTGGGAATTAGAGGCAAGTTTTTTAGTCGGTATCATACCCAGGCGGTATTGAGTCCGACATACCCAGACAAAAGACCAGTCTTAGATGCATAAAGGCATTTTCTTCGCTATACAAAAAAACATGCCTGTTTATATCATAGCTGTGTACGACAGCGGTTTTAGTGCTCTTTAAAACATGTTAGTCTTACTAAAAAAAATCAGCTTAAAAGTATTTTGACGCTTGTCCTCAAAGGGTTAATTCGAATACTACGAATTGAATTGAAGTTGACTGTATCTTAAAGTTTGAATACCATACGTCTAAATTTGTATTATTTTTGATTTGATTTATTAATAAGTTAACTAAAAAATAAAATAAAATAAATTTAATTCGACGTTCGACTATAATTTCATTTTTTTTTTGAAATTACCTGGTTATTATAAATGAATTCCGTACGCAAGGAACAAGGCAAGGAGACATTGTTAATTGGCATCCGTTTGCTAACTTTAGTACATAATCAACTTCTCTTTCATTCACTAATCCCGAAAGCGCTAAGCCATTACCATCCTTGCAAGAAACGCTATCTAGTAAAATAAAGTTCTAAAATAAAATCTGGTTAAATCATGTATACCTTGAGAAACCAATGTAATTTCCATATGGTCTACAATTTTGCAATTTATATGAAAGCTTCATATGAAATAGATTAATGCTTTTTAAAAAGGTTTTCAAATTAATGCGTACTACTAATTGGGTATTACTTTACATATATTTTGGAAAATTAAAAAAAAAAGGCAGAATATTATTATTTTAAATGCAACTTTGTTCATAGTTTGAATTGAGAAGCTTGGAAAAATGTATGTGGTGAAGAAAGTTTAAAAGACCTATGAATATGTGGGGAGTAGCAATTTAGAAAAATATATATTTCAAAATAATGTATTAAACGGAGTTTATTGAAAATTAATCCTTTTTGTTTGTATATATTATTTTATTTTTCTGAACTCTTTTTTTCAAAAATATTTTTTTTTATTTTATAAATATTTTCTACGCTTGGATGGCGTACAATTACAATGCCAATTTTTTTATACATTCATTCGCTTTTATTATGGATATCCCACGTCCACGAAACGTAGAAAGTTATTGAAAAAATGAAAAATTAAGTTTTTTATAAAAAAAAGGGAATATTTTAGATCAGAAAAATAAAATAATTTTAGTTATCCAGAAAACTAATTTATGTACTGTATAAAGAAACTAAAAATAAAAAGGTGTAAAATGCAAAAATACTTACTCGGCATATCAGGAGCAACTATTTGAACTACATCGCCATATTTTAAGCCTTTTTCGTTGCAGGTTAATTCGATCTATTACAAAGAATTATTATTTTTATTATTTTTTGTCGTGGAGTATATATATACACATCCACACACACACATAAATATATATTATATAATAGTTTACAAACTCATTGGATCATTGCGAATGTGCTATTCGAGTTTGGCAAATTTTTTATCATTACCAACCGCTACCCTATATACTTATATATCAATTATTTATTTTTACGTTATTTTTATTTTTACGAACAAGAATCAAGTTTAATATGCAAATACATACCTGTTTTAATATATTGCAGAACAATGCTCTTGACCTCTGCACAAGTAATTCGTTGCGCTCTCGTTTTCGCAAAAATAATTTTAATTGTTCCTGAAATTTTAATTTATAACCCAATTAATATAAAAAATGATAAGAGGTGAAAAGTTAATAACTCTGCTGTTGGACTTATAAATTCTAACAATAAGGAATAATTAACGTTAAAATTCGTATGTAAACGACACACATTTTAGACTATTTAAACAGGAATTAATATATATATATATATATATATATATATATATATATATATACAGTAGTAATAATTAAGAATTTAATTAGTAGAGTAACACTTTTGAATTACATCTTCCATAGACAGTGTTTCATTCCAATAACCAATTCTTGTGTTTGCAGAATATTTTGACACTTCTGGTTTTTTCTCCATCTTAAATGTCCCGTTTTATGTGCTCCAAATAAATTATAATTTGCAAAAAGTAAAAAAAAAATAAACGTATTGTTATAAATATTAAAACAAAATATTTGTATTGAAGGCCTGTTTCGATACTACATTCCTTGACAAACATTTGTTTGATCAATATTTTAATGATCGATTTTTCAACGTGTATGAAACTGGAATAGAGTTGTTTAATATTATTGATTTTCAAATTTTTGAAGCCAGCATTATTTTTTTAACAAAGCACGTAATATTTTTATTGTGATATTGCTGGCTATAATAATAATTAGGGAAGGACGGTATCTAGAACATTTTTCATTCTGTTGTTTGATGTTAGTATTATAGTAGTAAATAAAATTATTACTTTTCTACTAAATACTTAGGCTTTTTAAACAAATTCATGAAATTAAATTTTTACTTCTAATTTACTATTTTACTCATAACTTGTAAACGGATTTTTTAAAATTTGTAGTAAATAAAATACTCAGAAAAAATGTTTGCATTTAATATTAACTTGGATTTGTGGCACATGTTTTTTGTAATTTTAATACAACATATTTTTCGGAAATCGAGCAGTCAAATAAAGCTATAATTTTATAAATAAATATAAACTGTTATAGAGTGTATGGTCTGATGGTTTTTCCAGTTAGGTACCTATATTTAATTGATGTAATTTGATGACACAGATTATGACTCAAATAATAAACAAATAATAATTGTAACTAGTCATGTTTGTATTAACATTGTTGATTTTGCAACCAACCAGTGGCAATAAAAATATTAAATAAATAGTTTTGTAAACGTTCTCAAGATCTGTAAAAAGTTGTTTTGTATGCTAGGAGAATATGGGGTTCCAATTTTCCAATTAAGCTTTTGCAGAAATAAATTACAGAATCATATGTCGCAAATGCTACAGAATATGTTGCAAAGCCATCAGAAGAAGGATTTTGTGCAGATAGAATGCATTTTGCTCGTGTATAACATTATTTCGCTGTCTTTATGAATATTTTTCAGATCAGATACAATACGTTTATTTTGCATAGTAATGATCTTGCGGGCTGTTCGTTATTGACTGAGCTTTACATAACTTTGAAAATTTATGACTGTTTTAGTTTCATTTATTTCTAGCTGATATTACTGATGTGTTTATCTATTTTGTATACTTCTAAGGTTTTCCACTAAAGGTATAAGAATTTAAGATCAAAAATGATGTTTTATATAACTGCGGGATAAATTTTTGATACAACGGGGAAGCATCGGTTCTATCATAGCCAATTAATAACGTTACTAAAGCCGAATACTGTAACTGCATTAAAATTACATTTACGATCATGTCTCTAAGGTAATAAAATCTGATATAAAAAATGAATATGAAGTATGTGATAAAAATAGCTCAAAACGGTTATTTTATATTTAAAAATGACTGTTTGATTTATACATCAGATTATCAATGTTTTCATAAAGTTTTCTATACTGTGTATACATTTTATTTCTTACGATTGTTTTAAATATTTTGAAACTTTCTGTAGGCTATATTATAGAAATCGCAAAAAATCGATAATTTTTTTTTATATATTTTTACATTTCAAAGTTTGATTTATACATCAGATTATCAATGTTTTCATAAAGTTTTCTATACTGTGTATACATTTTATTTATTACGATTGTTTTAAATATTTTGAAACTTTCTTTAGGCTATATTATAGAAATCGCAAAAAATCGATAATCTTTTTTTATATATTTTTACATTTCAAAGGTTTCTGAACGCAAAGAAAAAAAGGATTATAATTCTTTAAAATGAATTCAAATATAATAATTATTATTGTTATTTGACTTTGAATTGTAATCATTATCGTATATTTGTTTACAAAACAGAAAGTTCCAGAAATTGGCCTTAAGACACATACACTAAAAGTTGGAATTATAATTAAAATTTTGATAAAACCTGATTTTTCAATACTATTATAATAAAAAAACGAACAATAAAGTATGTAAATTAAAATGTGTCTCTTGAAAGAGTTGTAGAACTGTCTTTGAATAACGTAATAAATTATTCTTGTATTGTGTTTCCTGTTTGTAGCAAGGCACCTATACGAATTATAACAATCGACTACAGTTAAAACCATATTACGCACGAACATATTGATAAAAAAGAAACAACATCAGAACCACGCCATGAAAGATATTTAATTATTGGTTAAATTTGCCAGAATCGATTAAATTAACAATATAGCAATGACTATACCATTTGTCAAAAATATCGTCGTTTGAAGTAAGATGTTTATCATTAATCTTAATATTTTTTAATTACAACAAAGTCTAATCAATATAGTCTATAAAAATATTAGGCCAGAAAGGTAAATAGTTAGGTAAAGGAGTTTTCTTCACTTGGTCATCGCTTGCAGCCACTGATTGTACAATTTTTTATGTATTTTTCGATGATTGCTTATTATATGTTCTTGATAATGTATAAATTTTAGTTAAGGGGTAAGATAATTAAATGATAGCATTTTGAGTTAATACTTTTTAAATATGTTAAATTTACTTAAAATATGTTTGGGCAGAAATATGGGGTCACAAGGCATGTTTTAAAAGGCACCTAATAAAATAGTATTAAATTGTTTATTTTTAATGATCACATTCCAAAAGCATTTTTCCATCATTGAGTTGAGAGTAACAAATTGACAAATGATGATTAGTTTTTACTTCTGGATTCTTCAAAGTTGGACATGTAGTAAGTCGTTCGTTATGACATCAACCTTATTGTAATTTACAATTTGTAATTCGCAAAACGGTCGCTCCCACACTCTACATATTGCTTTTGAATAAAATTACGAATTTAAGACATAATTGTAAAAGAATTACGAAGTTGAATTGGGATGAAATTTAGTTTTATACAAATTGCAAATTATATTTACGTTTTGCATCCAATATGAAATCATTCGTTAAAAAATAAAATGAATATTCATCGAACTGAAACATGGCACGCGTTATGAATAATTTTATAATAAGAGACTTGAACCAAGAAGCTTAATTATGAGTTTTTTTTCTATATTTTTAACTGCAATCAGAACTTAACGAGACCTATGAGCTGTTGTGCTTCAACGACTGCCTTTTTACAGAGAGCAACCCAAAAAGATTGTCCTACCATTATAAGATGAATTTATTATTGCAATTTATATAATACTTATGATTTTTTTCAGTTATACGGGGAAAGGCACTTGGAAACATATTAACTTTATATATTTTCAAGTTGAAACCGATGTCATTGCAGCTTGACATCAAGCTGTCAGAGGCGAGTATCATACCTGAAACCTCTGATTCGATTCGAAGTCCATAGCTTAAACTACTAGACACTGAGGAGCCACATTTGTGAGTAAAGAAAACTTTAGTCAAAGAATTTACACATTTATTTTATAGACTTAACATACACATTTAAATACTTTTGTGCAATGATAATGACCACATGATAGAGTAAAGTTGCGCAAGTCGTACCACCGCCTTAGCAGTACTACGGTTATATTTTGTCTGATAATTATAAAATACATCATCAGCTGTAAGTCTTTCACGTAAATAATATGATTCTGAATTATTTTTCTATTTTATATTACTTATTTTATAATTATTTTTGGTATTAATCTGAAAATTAGTTATTTAAAATATCATTTTTGATCTTTCATTTTTGCAATGTTCAAATTTCGAATATCATGCAGCTAAATCATATCTTCGCAAAATTTCTTAGTCGTACCGGTTTAATAGAGAAGTTTATTTGTTTTTTTTTTTACGAATACGAAAAAGTTATGGATAAATACAATATTCTAAAGTATTTGCTCAATATGAAAAAAAGAGTGTAACCAATAAAGGCTGTATCTCCATGAACAGTTTCATCTTCTTTCTGGGCACACAGAGACCTAATAATTTTATAAGTACGATCGTTACCTTTTGAGATTATTATTTTATTAACTTCCCGTAGGGTAAGTTATTGTAATGGGCCGAAAATCGGAATTGAAAATTTTTACATTTCTCGACGTTTTGAAGGTTTCTGAACGTTTTGGCATACCTTAGAAAAAATGGATGTGTGTGTGTGTGTGTATGTATGTATGGATACAAATTTTCGCCCACGTTTTCGGGCGTACTGATCAACCAATTTGAATGGTTCAAAAAGCATTCGATTCCTATTGATAGGGAAAAGAGCTGATTAGTTTTTGGCAAAGGCAGGTCCAGCCGTTTCGGAGATACGGAGCAAAGAGAGCAGAAAATAGAAATAGAATTTTTGAGAGAACGGAGTATCCGATTTGAATGATCTAAAAACATTTAATTAGTAATGATTGGGAGAAGTGTTTATTAGTTTTTGGCAAAGGCAGGCCCAGCCATTTTGAAGATACGGAGCAAAATATGTAAAAAATGGCAATTTTAGAGAGAACTAAGCGTCCGATTTTATTGATTCAAAGAACTTTCTGCTTGTCTTAACAAAATAATTGATTTTGGGAAAAAAAATTTTTGCTACATTTTTTTTTTTTTTTTTTTTTTTTTTTAGTTTCTTGTATATCGAAAATATTTCAGATTTTATTTTTAATTCTGACTATAGTTCTAATATACTTTACAAACAATTTCAACTCTGCAATTCAGTTTATATAAGTTTATATAATTCTTATAAATATTAGACAATGTTACAATATTCAAACATTTCGTTACGGTACGGGAAGTTCCAGCAATTTGCCTTAAGGCACGATGCCATAATTGCCTCAAGACAGAATTCCACTTACAGCTACTTTTATATGTTATTTCAATAATGTTTTTCGGTGTGATAACAGAAACCAAAGTTGATCTCAGACTGAATTTTATATAGTTTCTAATAGTAGATACGACTTTGGTTATAAGTGCTTCTAAGACGATCAGGCGCCTTATTCGTACGCACATTTTTGAAAGGTCGTAAAAATACCTATTTCAATTAAAAAATAATTTCAGTAACTGTTGATTATGAGGCAACC